ACTGTCCGACACAAACCATCCCGTAACAGGTTATGAAAGTTTGATGAAGCTAATTGACTGGAAAAACTCTAGAAAACAGTTCTGGTCCGACGATGACGAATGTTGTGATCCCTCACCTCAAGTATCCAATTATGAAAGTTCGAACAGTGAAGAATCATGCTCCACGACTTTACTTGGCATAAATGCTTCCTCACCTCAAGTATCCGATTATGAAAGTTTGAACAGTGAAGAATCATACTCCACGACTTTACTTGGCATAAATGCTCCCTCACCCCAAGTATCCGATTATGAAAGTTCGAACAGTGAAGAATTATGTTCCACGACTTTACTTGACATAAATGCTCCCTCACCTCAAGTATCCGATTATGACACGACTTTACTTGGCATAAATGCTCCCTCACCCCAAGTATCCGATTATGAAAGTTCGAACAGTGAAGAATTATGTTCCACGACTTTACTTGACATAAATGCTCCCTCACCTCAAGTATCCGATTATGAAAGTTCGAACAGTGAAAAATCATGCTCTACGACATTACTTGACACAAATGATTGGGATAAAGAAATTGTGGAACTGCATGATAATATCGATGCATTCCGAAGTGATTCTAATGATGAAGATCAGCAGTTAGCCTTTACTGAGGAACCATTAATTATCGAAGTATTAGTTGAAAATGGAGAAAAAACGGAAACTGTTAGTGAGGGATCGTTGATTAACATTAACATTGACAAAGATGAAGAAATATATGCAGGATTATAGGATAATATATATACATATTATATCATAAATTTTACAAATCTGAATCATGTTTGAAACAGATACATTTATTTATAGTGTTAAATTATGTAAAGACAATTTATAATGTGTAAGTATATAAACCAAATAAAAAAAATAATAATTTAACCACTGTGCAACAATGGGCTTTTGTGCCTAAACTTTCTTTGGTAGGAGAATTATACAATTAGTAGTAAATTTGAAATCGGAGTAGCTGCAGTTATAATTATGATTTTTTAAGTGTTAGCATTCTTTATCCTGCAAAAATCTGTTTTTGAGGTGATTCTAAAAATATATGACCAGAGCTTTTGAGCCTAGAACATTTCATATAATGTTTTACTTTTGTTTCACAATATGAAAGAAGTTCTAATATTTTAAAAATGACATCACATTCAGAAGTTTCTTCCATCATCATTGAATGAAATGAAAAAATGTTTCCGCTTATTACTCTCCTAATTATTTTAATACTGCTCTCATTGAGAAAGCAACAAACATTAATTAGGAAATCATTGGCGTGTGCGTAAAAACTAGTAAATACTTTTACTCGGAATTTAAAAAAAACATATTTTTCATAACTGCATCATGCTGCAAGGACATGCTATAGACAGTATCTACCTACTTAATATGTAATTTTCTCTACTGGAAATTGAAGTGTCGTATACTTCTTTGTGCACTTTGGCGATGAAGGAATAAAATTTGTGTTTTAACATATACAATTGGAAATCAGTGCCCAATATGTAAAAAACGAAAAACTGCTAAAAAATCTGTTTAAATTCGAAGTTCTGTAAATTACTGTAGATTCAATGAAGTTATTTTATCAGTGAAATCCATATAAGCTACCAGAATTCATCCTGAGTCTGAAAATATAATTATTACCGAGAGTCTGTCGGAAATGACTGTTTTTTTTACTTTTTTTGATAATTTGATATTAAAAACAACTGTGCATCATTTGATAAAGAATTAGAATATAATCACAACAACGATGAAGAATATGAAAAACTAGAAAGAATAAGAGATGAATTATATGTGTCTCAGAAATACATTAAGTGTCAAAATGTTAACAATGTATTTAACTCATCAAAAGCAACAAATCTAATTTTTTTTTCAAAAATCTCTTGGTTTTGAAGATAATATAATTTATTCACATTTTAAATTTTCGTTTCCTGCCACTGGAGCATCAGGCAAAATGCTCAGTTGAGTAAATAGTAAATGAAAAGAATCATTACACAAAACATTTGCATACTTTACTTAGGTATCTCTTCCATCCACAAATTAGCGTTATTTTAATGAATATCAAATACTGAATCATAAAACATTAGAAAAAATTGCAAATTGCTGCTTTTAATAAGGGAATGAATTTTAATTATTATTACTATTATTAATCATGTATCCCAATAAATTTATGCCGTGAACAAGCAAATGTATTTAGGAAGAAAAAAATATGAATTTATTATTAAACGACGAGAATAAAAATATAATTATAAATGTTACAATGAGGAAAGATATCTACTAATAGAATACAAACCCATCAGAAATTTTTAAGAGGTCATTTGACCCAGCATGAATTACTTATAAATCAATGCTACCACATATAACAATAACTTTATAAACTATGCCGTCAATTCTTGTTGATACAGGTGGGTACACAGGTAAGCTAAACCTGTCCACTAAGGGGGGTGGTCTTCGGCTAAAAATTTTTTGTTCGGCGGCATTTCTAAAGTATATAAGTTATACAAAAAAATTAACCGCGATCTAATGCCGTACAAAAATAGCAATACCGGAAGCCAGGAAAATTTTTGATTTTCCGAAAATTTTGGTCCGGGTTTTGGTGATTACTTACAGTACGGCATTTATACCGCAAGTTTCGTATCGATACATAAATAAATTTTTAAGCGACGTCGTACGTACAGGGGTTAGGAATACAGGGTGCAACCCTCTATTTGTAAGTAGCGTATGGGGGGTGATTTGAACCAACATCAAATTCACTAATTTTAATTCTATTTTACAAAATAATGACATTTTTGGCCATGCCGTACATTTTTCATGAAACATGTGCTTACTATAGGAAAATTAATTTCTCTCTAAAAAGTAGGATTTCACGGTGAAAAATTTGAATGGTGAACGGCATTAATAGATTTTGTTAATCCTGACAACAATAATCAACAAAAACAAAATACCGTACAAAAAAAATGGTTCTAAATGGCTTGAAATATATTTTTCCAAATAAGTATTACTTGCAAGAATTGGTTTTATTTTTACTACTATTTTCTCCTTAATACAAATTATTTACTACTGTACGGCCCTTCTATAATAAGACTTACAATATCACATAGAAATATTTTTCAGTAATGCCGTACATATTATTAGTCGATACAGGAGTGAGAAACCCCGGATGCAAACCCCTATATTCTCACCGTTATGGTTTCCGGTCATTGAAAAATGGTCGCCATTGTTGCTAAAACATTATTTAAGATGTAAAATAATTTTCAAGTAATATGCCGTTAAAAAACCATAGGATGATATAAAAATTATTAATTTTATAAATTTGAAAAGCTTATATATTAATTTTTTTCACAAGTACGTAAGTAAAATTTTTTTCAAAATCCAAAAAATTATTATTAAAAAATCAATAAAAAAATCTGCATTCGAATATTTTTTTAAAAATTTGGAATTATTTTTATTTTAAATTTAAAATTACCGCTTCGATTCCAGCTGGCCATCGAAACATCTTCTTTCTCTGTCTCTTTTTTCTTTTCGGCGTGTAAATTTTTATGTGGATTTATTCATGTTTATAACCGACAATCTTAAAGATGTTTTTGTAACAAATGCACTTTTAAATTATTTTTACTAATTTTAAACATGTATTGTATGCTAATGGCTTCATCACAATTTTTGCATAAATAAATTCTTCAAACAATTGTAACAGAAGTTGCAAATATGCAAATGCGAGGGTACTGTTACTTCAAAATATATATTATATCACTGTTTTAAAATAAGTATTTATATAGGAAATCTCATGAATATCGAATTAAAATTAATTGTTTATTATTATATTTATTTAAAAATAATACTTTCTTGCACGTCATTAAATTTCTAAATTCCTCAAAATATTTTCTCGATCCTCTATACACAATTTTTTTTAACTAAAAGACAATGCCATCATAATTTCTACAGTATAAATTAAATTTCTCTTGAAATTAAGATAAAACTCATTTTGGACTCGTTCAATTTCGAAGAATTGTTCCGACAAATATGTACAGCATTGCAATTTTCATTCTTTATGTTATATTTCTGATGAAAATTTATAAATGCCGTATTATTATGACCTAAAAATGCAGTAAAAATTTAATGAAAAATATTATCAGCTATGTAAAATCCAAAAAAAAGTACGTAAGTTGTTTTTTTTTTATTTTTTTACTTATGAAGTCAATTACAGCCATAATATTTTGAATATAAAATTTTTAGTTTATAATAAGGAATTTTCAAAATTTTATAAATTTTTACAATACATTTATTTGTTTTTACTGTACTGTAATAAATCACCAAAAATCGGGCTAAAATTTTCAGAAAATCAAAAATGTTCCTGGCTTTCGGTATTACTATTTTTGTACGGCATTAGGTCGAGGTTCATTTTTTTTTGTATAACCTATATACTTTAGAAATGCCGAACAAAAATGTTTTGCCGAAAACCACCCCCCTTGGTGGACAGGTTTAGCTTACCTGTGTACTCACCTGTACCAACAACAATTGACGGCATAGTTTCTAAAGTTATTGTTATGTGTGGTAGTTTTGATTTATAAGTAATTCATGCTGGGTCAAAGGACCCCTTGAAAATTTCCGATGGGCTTATAGTCTATAAGAAGTAATGATGCAAAACTGGTATGTCAGTAAATTTTCTTAATTTACATGTACTAAAAATTATGCATTACTTACATCTAATACTAGTAAAGGCTTATGCATATGCAGCATATTACTCTTACTTAGGACCCAAAAATTATTTAATAATCATTTACTTGTTTTTAAGCATATAGTCCATTGTTCTCTAAAACATCCATTGGGAATGAAGACCACAGGTACCGCCTACTTAATTTTAATCTCACTAAAAAGTGTCATGTCAACATTAAAAAGATGGAGCAACCAATATTATGTAACAGTTTTTGTCCGTTTTTTGACATTAGTCACGTATTTTTTCACTTTATATACAATTTTTTTTTTAATATACGTAAAAATGGATGAAAATTACATCAGAAGGGAGCGTCGACGTAAAGAAGAAACAAAAAAGACTGTGGCGGAGATGAGGGCTGCTTTGAAAGTCTGTAATATGGACGACGTTCGTCGACACAAAATGCCCTTCGAAAAAGCTTTAATAATTGGTTTAGAAGAGAAAGGCTATTACGTTGCTGCAGCGATAATTCAAGACCTGATAGACGTCCAAACTAGCAGGAGGGAGACTTCTGGCCCTTCCAGTGTCTTATGGTCGAAGCCTCAACTGAAGGACAATAAGAATCTCTTGAAAACCCTTAGCGATAATTTAGTGATATCGGACATCCAACGAAATATGAATGATCACGCAAAGGAATGTGAGACATTCCTCAAAACAGCAACACACTTTGCATTCTTACATCCAGATTGGTGGTGGATGGGTGAACAACTATTACTGATGTCTATTAGTTTTGGGAAACGTTACCCTTCCACGGAAGGAAAGTACGAAGCCTTAAGTAGTTACGTGTATGCAAAATTTCTTCTGGAAAATACCAAAGAGACGGAATCTGCTCATCTTTATTTAATAAAAGTACGGGAATTGTCAAAAGGTAAAAAATGGGTGACTATTGCTCTATTTCCAGATGAGAGAGACTATCTTTATACAAGAGCTAACTACCTTCTACACATGTGCTTGATGCAGGAAGCAAGATCATACTTAAGAAGTGATGTTAACAAGGCAATAAAATTGGCAAATATAGCAAGAAAGAGAGCCGCAGAAGCGTGTAATTTAGACGGTGAAACTAGAGCTTTGCTTCTGAAAGGAATATGCGAAGTGAGCACTAAACGCGCTATGGCAGCCATAGCAACTTTTACTAAAGCGTATTATATTCAAGAAAGACTAGGCAACCTAGAAGGTATTTGCATGGCTAAGCTACATTTAGCCCAAGCATATTTGGTAAATGGTGATACGCTACAATCTTTGAGAACCTTGCTAACGGCTAGAGATTGTGCAGAACGTAACAATCTAACTTATTTGCTAGGGCAAGCTTATAAACACCTAGGAGAATTCTACTTGAACAATGGAGAACCCAGGAAAGCAACACCTTTGCTAGGGGAAGCCCTAAAAATACTTCACAAGGCAGAAAGCGTACTTGATATCGAACAAGTTCGTAACTTGGAAGCTATTTCTATGGGATTGGAATTGTTTCCTAGATACCTGAAACTACTGTCTGATACAAGTGATCCTGTAAATGGTTTTGAAAATTTGATGAAGATGATTGATTGGAAAGACTTGAGGGTACAGTTCTGGTCTCAAGACGACATATCTTTTGATCCCTCATCTCTAGACTCCCCTAAAAATTCCGATACCCAACAAACATCCATCAGTTCTTCATACGATGTAGGTAGTAGAATGAACAGTAACCCGAAGGATGAACAAATTTTAAAATTACATGACAATATTCATGCATTCCAGAATGGTTCTAACTACGAAGAAAAACTATTAGCTAACGAAAAAGAGTCGGTGACCGTTGATGAAAAGAAAACAAAATCCATATGAAGAAAAAAAATGTAGAATAAAATATAATATTTATTACAGGTACTCGCAAAATCGTAAATAAATAAACACTAATTAAAAATTTTTATTATTATTTGAAACACTGTTTCAACACACAACACAAACAGTATTGTACTGTTCACATATTTGATAATAACTTATACAGGGTGTCCCGTACATGTTTCAAAAAACTTGTGTGCAAGTTCCTCATGGGAAAATAATGGCGATAGTATGTAACATTTTTTTCTTAGACGCCTTGATTTCGAGATACAGTGTGTTGAAGTTGTTACTTTTCAAATGGGTTTCCTTAATTATCTTTTAATCGGCTAAAAATAAAAATTTGTATACGAGTAAACATCAACTGTGCGTTAAGAATAATGTGCAAACGGTTTCCTTCTGAAAAGCAGGATACAAGTAATTGGAGCGGTACAACCGAAAAAAAAATATGTTAAAACTTTAAGTTTAAGCTTGTTGTAAAGTAACATTTATAAAAGTAAATCAAAAGAAACGAATTATGGTAATTAAATATCTATTAATAACTAACTAGATTTTGTAAACTGCTACACTACCACTACTAAAATAATCAATTATTGAGTGGACTGAATTGTGGATGTACATGAACGCTTAAAAAAGTGTTAAGAACAGAAAAATATTAGGAAACAGACCCGGAGACAGACAGAACAAAATATCTGCACAATTAAATAAATGAGCAAAACTCACTTCAACAATTTGTGCCCATAGTTCATCACGAGTTTGTACCGGAGTCGCATAGACTTTGTCCTTCATGCCTTCATGAATCCCCAAAAATAAAAGTCTAAAATATTTAAGTGTAGTGATCTGGCAGGCCAGTTTACGGGTGTATCGTGGCCACGTCCAATCCATCGCCCAGTACTGCTTATTAAGAAACTGCCGAAACTGCGCTGTGTTTGTGTAATGTGGAGGCGCACCATCATGCATCCATCTCTTTTTACATTTAATGGTAAAATCTAACAAATCTAACAAACAGATTTTCCAAAATATTTAAATACTGAACACCATATAAACGTGGTGGTGGTTCAATGGGTCCTAATAAATCATCACCGATAATAGTAGGGGAGCCCAAGAGGGGATTTTGGGATTCCTACGCATACGCTAATTGCAAATTGGTGTTAGGAATGATTTATAATTGTGGAATGTGGATTGGCGTCACTCCATTCGTGACTGTTATGCAGATTTATTATTCCATTTTTTGTAAAACATGACTCGTCAGAAGGTAAGTTCCTGTTGTAAATATCATTATTTTCATTCTGCTTATTTCTGAACCAATCACAAAAATGTAATCTTGCATTGTTATCCCCCGCCAAAATCTCGTGTATTCTTGTTAAATGATAAGGTCGATGCTGTTCCTTTAAAATTTTGACAAATATCCCTTTTCTTTGTAGTATGCTTTAGAATTTACAAACTGCTGTAACAGATTTTGACTTTTAACATTTTTTTTTCGATTTTACCCCTCCAATTACCTATATTGGCGATACTGCTTTTCAGAAATAAACCGTTTGCACATTATTCATTTTTATTTCCGTATGTAGGTACAGTTGTGTTTACTCTTATACAAATTTAGACATTTTTATCTTGAGGTGATTTAAAGATAATTAAGGAAAACCATTTGGAAAATAACAACTTCAACACACTGTATCTTGAAAACAGGGCGTCTAAGAAAAAAACGTTACATGAACTACCCCCATTATCTTCCCATGAGAAACTTGCACACTTTTTGAGACACGAACAGGACACCCTGTATATGTACATTTTATAATTGTAACGTTTAATCATTTTATATGCAAATAATTTTTTTTCCAAAGTATTTTTTAGAGAAAAATCTTTTTTGCCTTATTTTTTATTACATTTACATTATTTTCAGCTGACAGAAAATACTACAAACAAAGGTACGATTCTTTTTATCTCAAACAACACACCCCGGGCTAAAATAATATAATAATTATCTGCCTATTACTTGTGTCACATTGAATACTACTAAATTTGTTGTTAGCTTTTTGTTTAACTACTTATGAAGTATAACAAAGGGCTTTTACGAAATATTAACGTAAAATAATAAACAATATTCTCATTTGAAAATTTCTCACTGCCTGACAAATTCATTACATCAAACCATCGGAGATGTCGATTTATGTTCACCTTTGATGTATCAAAATTTAAAATTGTGCCTTTAAAAGGACTGTTGTTTTAAATCTTTATTTTTAGATTTGACGGTTTCTTCTTTAGGCATATTATTTGGGACCAAAATATATTTCAGTTCCGTTTTCGTTTTTTGGAGCTTAGGTCACAGTTTTCTAGGCAGGGCTCATTCGTAATCTAGTCAAAATGTGTTATTAGCGTAAATTATTTAGAATTGATATGTATATGTACAGTAGGAGATTATTTATTCCAGTATTTAGGAAATCTGTAATTATAAATAACAATATAAGAATCAGTAATTTCATCAAAAATATTTATACAATGGGAAAACAGTTTATAGTTTTGTTTGATAAACTTGTATCATAATTTTATACTAAGTGTTCATATGAATACTTTCCACTTCATATCCTCTATAATTGCTATTTGGGAAATATGTCTGTTTATTCCAACGATTTCTTTCAAATTCAAATTTCACCTTATTCCTCTTCATGTGCAAAATAATCAATTCAAATTAATTTTGCTTATAAAGACAACAGTGGAAAGTTTTCAAATTAACGGTACATCGTCGTCATCTAATGTTCTATATCTTTACTCTTTTTATTTGATTAGGTATTTCTGTCACACTGAAAATGAAATAAAAGGAGTAACTAAAAATGCCACAAATAAATCATTACAGGCAATTTCTATATCGTAGCCCTACATTTATTTTTTATAATATCCTTATATAAATTATTATTTACCTCTTCCAAAAAAGTAGATAATATACCTATTTAAAGAATAATAATATATAACATTGTATAGGTAGATATCTACAGGTAGATAAGTCATACATATTTAGTGTAAACATAAGGTTGTGCCTTAGTAGATAATTCAAAATTTATCAAAATATTTACAAAAATTGCTGAATGAAAAATGAAAAATAATATTTAGAGCTTCCTACTGAATGTACTTATTTGGAAGTTTGTACATAAAAATTTTAAAAATTAATATATATGCTTCCCAAGTAAACAAAAATGTTTCTAGCGGTATATTCTAAATCTCCTTCCTTTAGGCAAATCCAGGATGCATCAAACTTGTCACTGTTTTTCGTAGAAATTGTCTAGCATTTCAGTAAAAACATAGTTTTACACGAACATTTCATTAACCGTTATTGCAGAACATTTTTTTACATTACTGATATCAAAATTATTTTTTTGTATCGAAAATAATATACCTAACACATACATCCTTACATATTGATTTATATATAACTTTGGAAGTACATACGTGATATACCTAAATTAATGTTGTTTTCAGAGCTCAGAGCCCATTTTACAATTAATTATAAATCAAAATAGTGTAATCCCATCAATTAATTATTGGATGTACAAGGTTAGTGGGGAGGAACGCCCCAAACTCTAGGTGTGTATTTTACGCGTAAATATAATTTAGAACTACAAAGTAAGCAGGACTTTTTAAAAATAGGCATGTCGAATGAGTGTTCTAGATCTTCGGCTGGGATGTCCTTCAGGACATCGGTACAAACATTTTGGATGGCTTCTAATTCCACAGAACACTTTCCTTTCATCGGCAAATGCATCCGAAAAGTTAAAAGTCGCACTGTGTCAAATCAGGCAAGTGGTTGACAGTTAAAACGCGATTTTTAGTCAAAAAATCGTATCAAGTGTCAATGGATGATATGACTCATTATTTTGCAACTAACGCCAACTTCCTTCTACGCAATATTTTGGCCAAATACGCTTCAAAACGCCAAAATAGAATTGTTTGGCCCGGTGGACAATGCCCTGGGAATCGCAAAAGCAAATCAACATTGTCCTCATTTTTGACTTCTCCAAACGAGATTTTTTGGATTTTAGCTCATCTTGCGCCTTCCACTTGGCACTTTGGCGCTTGTTTCTGGATCATATTGAAAACACCAAGTTTCATCACCAGTCACAATGTTGTAAAGGAACTTTTGTTTTTTTTTGGCCTCCTTGATGTTGTTCTTCGAATGTTGTTCTTCGAATGTTGAATTCAAAGCAATTTTTGGTCGTCGCGGAACAACCCCATGAACACATGGTAGCCCAAATGTTCAGCCAAAATGCGATAAATTGATGTTTTTGAGATGCCCAATTCCAATTCCATTAATTTCAATCAAGGTTTTGGTTGATCTTTGATGAATTCACGCACAGTTGTGATGGTGATACGGATTTCGGTCGGCTCAACATTTATGTCCTGACGACCGTTTTTAAACCACGTATATCACTCATGAACTCTGCCACGGGATAAACAATCATCACCATAAACTTGGTTCATCAATTAAAACGTTTCGGTAAATGTTTGACCAAGTTTAAAACAAAACTTTTCCGACGCATGTAACTGCCAATGGATGGCATCACTCGAATACCTATTTTCTAAGTCTTGTTTACTTTAGAAGTTGCTTTATCCAAAAGTGTCACATACCCGTTTTACAAAAACTCAGTTTAGTTCTCCACAAAAACTTGATTACCGATTCTAAATTGTATTCACTTTTTTGTTCAGAAGTATGTCAATGTCAGTGTATTGCAGATAGTGATTTAACCTTCCTTTTTGTTACAGTTTTTTAAATGCAACATTGAAGTTGAAAGCAAAAGAAATCCGGATAACATTTACGTTTTTCTAAATAATTTTTTCGCGCAGAAAACACTCTTATAGCGTTGCTATTGACTCATTCTGTATATCCGAGTTGCATCTTGGATTTGCTGCTGAAGCTTCATTACGCGCATTGAATAAATGATCCAGAATTCAGCAACATTTTGTTTTATCACCAAAAAAGAAAACGAATCAATCAAAAATTCTTTTTATAACTA